TGCGTTATCGTGTACCTCGACGACATTCTCGTCTACAGCACAACCCGGGAGCAACATTTAAAGGATTTGGCAGCAGTCTTCTCTCCCCTGCAATAGAACCGACTCAACACCAAGGGCTCCAAGTGCGAGTTTCTAAAACACGAACTGGAGTTTTTGGGTCACGTTATTTCCATCGACGGTGTCGAAATCGACACCAAGAAGATCGCAACAATCCAAGAATGGCAACCACCGACTAATCTCCGTGAACTTAAGAGTTTTATGGGGTTTGTTAATTACGTCCGCCACTTCATTCCGAACATGGTGGGGGTAACTTTCCCTCTCACGGATCTCCTTAAGAAGGGCTCATTTTTTTAGTGAGGGGGAGAGAAGCAGGCTGCGTTCAAAAAGCTCAAACTTTTCCTGACTACACCACCGGTTCTTCGGATTGCAGATCCTCACTGTCCTTCCGAGCTCATCACCGACGCTAGCGATCTGGCCGTTGGCGCAGTCCTGCTACAAGACTTCGCCGAAGGCCTACAACCGATCGCCTATGATTCACGAAAGCTGAACCCGGTCGAGCGAAATTATCATGTCCACGACAATGAGTAACTCGCCATAGTTCACGCTTTCAAGGTCTGGCGCGGCTACATGAGAAGCACTAATGTAACAGTCAGAACAGACCACAAGTCGCTACAGTTCATCCGCGCCCAACCGACACTGAATCCCCGACATATTCGCTGGCTCGACTACCTCGAGTCCGATTTCCACTACAGAGTCACCGACAAACGAGGGGTCAGCAACATCGCCGACGCACTGACCCGCCCCTTGGTCCATACCGCCGCCGTCCTAATTACACAAGCTAATCCGTTGCTAACTGGCCTATTCACCCACGGATACAATACTGACCAATTCTTCACCACTAACAGTCATCCCTTACTGACGGTCAAGCAAGGGGCCTATTATATAAATCAGGTACTAATCGGATTTGGGTTCCTGCCTTCCGTAGGGTACGGTTGACCAAAATGGCTCATTTCGCTGCCTACAAGACGACAATTACTGCCGAGCAGACAACATAAATGTTCCTCATGAACATCGTGCGGCTACACGGCATCCCATCGGCAATCATCAGCGATCGTGACCCACGGTTCACGTCCAACTTCTGGACAAAAACCTGGCAGCAGTACGGCGCACGTCTGCATCTGTCCACGGCGTACCACCCGCAATCGGACGGCCAGGCTGAGCGCACCAATCAGACGATGGAGCAGCTGATTCGCACGACGTGCACAGACCCAACCCAATGGGAAGACGCCCTTCCCTTGATCGAGTTTGCGTACAACAACGCCCCATCGGCCACGACTACGCAGTCCCCGTTCTTCCTTAATCACGAGATAGATTCGACAACCCTTCTATCGCCCCCGATAGAGAACCCGGCACCAAGAACTCAACTATTCGTCGAAAATCTCCGACAGTCTCAGCAAAAAGCCGCCGACGCCATCCTAAAAGCCAACCAGAGGGCTAAGTGAGAGCAAGCTGACCGACGACGCCGAGACTTAACGCTTGTCCCTGGGCAATTGGTCCTGCTCGACACCAGGAATTTGGGAATCCCCCTCCCAAATAAATTACGACCAATATTTTGCGGACCCTGGCGCATCATCCACATGGTGACACCAGTCACCACCCAGCTGCAATTGCCGACCAACGGGCTAATTCATGATTCGTTCCACGTCAGTCTCCTGCGACCGTTCATCCCGGGTGCGACCAATCTCGACCATCAACATATTAATCCAACAGACAACCAAGTACCAGAGCTGACGACAACACCATCCAAGATCCTCGCTCATCGTGTACGGGGACATCGAGACACAGCAACCGTAGATTTCCTTGTACGATGGGTTGATCGCACAAGTGACGACGCCTTATGGGTTCCTGCAGCCAGGCTTGGTGAAAACAGAGTTGGCCATGACTATTTACACCGACGACGTGTCCCGGATGTGGGTAGTCTCATTCCAGAAGGGTGGGGTGGTGTAAGGAAATCCCCTTTTCCTTACCCGGCCAACTCTTCGGTCCCTCCCAAACCACTGCGCGAACCCAAACCTAGACGTGCGGCGCTTCCGTAGCTTTCGTCAACCGGACCGCCCCAACCTGTTCGCGTGGTTCTCGGTTAGCTCTGTTCGTGCCTATAAATGCCTAGGCCCTCATTTGTATCGACACTCTTGAATCACGATTACTTGATTACACTACTTATTATTACTCTGATTAATTCATAACAAGTGTCATTTGCCACGTTTTCACGAGCATGCTTCTCTAGGTACTGCGCATCGATTCGCACGTGCACAGCTGGAAACTGCTTGGGTGGGATCAGGGCTCTCGGTTCAAGGGTAAACAGCCGGAATTTCAGGTACTTTCCGGGTCTTTCCCACTGAAATCCTGATTTTGATGGTTTTGGAATCACAAACCTCCTGACTGATTCGGGGCGTTTCCCAGGAACTCTCTGAGAAATCCGGACTGCGCGAAAAATTATACTGACTATCCGAGTGGAATGGAAACTTACCCGTGCTGGAATTGTAACCCTTCTCTCCCCCCCATTGCAGCCCTGACCAATTTTCCACACAATCTGAAGGTGTGACCCGTGGAACTTCACAACTACAGAAGTGCAGGGCTTTCAGACTATCACAACCCCTTAATATCACCTTAGGCAGGCTTCGCACTGTCTCTCTAAGTTGTACGCATTTCTGTCGCAATTGACAAGGAAAGTGTCGAATTGGTGTGGTGCTGAGGGACAGGAACAGCAGCAAGTGTGTATTCTGTATTCTTTTCCATCGTTTCTTCCATAGATGTCCGTCCTGCTTGTACTCGAAGTGCCCGCAGATTCTGCCTATGTGTAGGGAGTTCCAAAAAACACTCTGAAATTCAGATTGAAAGGTCAAAGTAATCCTGAAATAAAGAGAGATTTCCCTGGGAATGATGAATTTTCAGGGTATTTATTGACGCGAATCCTGAGACCGTTGGGTCCTGTAAAACGAAAAATTAGCCCTGGGTGCGATGCTTTCCATGGAAGTATTGTTGATTTAATGCGCTCGTTATAAGCGCCATGCCCTTTGTCAGGAGGCGAGCCATGCGTCAGCAGTAAGTCGTTGCCTAATAATGGTTGCTTCCCTCCCAACCGCCTGAATCGAAGTCGAATTTACGGCCACAGAAGCATCCATCAGGCATTCCCTGCGGTGTGTTGTTCAGATCTTCCAAGGCCAGCTTCTGATCTCCGCCAGGAGAAGCTGTCATGAAACAAATGCATCAGCATTCTGTTTGGTTCCTTCCAGCGCCGACGTTTCAAGGACAGTTTCCCGGAAAATGAAAACATTAAGAGTAACGTCTGGCTTGATTCCAGAAAATGAACGGGTAGTTATATCCGGGAACCTGGAATCTGTATTAGTGCGTGAGGGGAGTTTTCCGGACGAAACAGAATTCTCGGGGCGGGCATTCTGGACGACCCAGCCTCTGGGAATGCCTTCCCCCCACCCCCCCCCCCCCTCCCACCCTGAATTCGATATCTGGGGCGCAAGTTTTTGTCCTCACAGAGAGAGATATTCATCCCCCTACCACCCCGACAACATGCATCACAGCCGGAGACATCACACCCACATCCCTCGCAAAATGGCAAATTTCGCCGAGTCCCTCCCCACACCCCTGGCACATTCGACCCACACCTCTAGCCACATGAAGTCCCTCACAGACAAAGGCATCCCTTCCACCACACCCCTGGCTCCTTCACCGGCACACACGTGCCTCGCTCACCCTCCCCGCATCCCTGAATGTTGCCAACAAGCGCAGCACAGGTGAGAACAGGTTCAGCAGAATCCAACCCTCGGTGCGGCTAACGTAAATAGTTAAGGATAATTTTGCGAAAGTTTCAAGCTCTTTCACACCAGGTATTTCTGTCAAGTCTCTGCATAAGTGAGCTAAATGTGGTAGAAAATATCGTCTGGCCTTATGTGCAGAACTCAGGCATAGTATAGTAGTATCAGAACCAAATCCGGCTTAAACAGAATTCAAAATCCCCCGAATCTGGATGAACAGAGTGAGGGGAGGGGGGGATTTCCCGGAGAAACAGAGTACAGTATCGAAAAACCTTAGCGTCCGCCCTGGTTCCTTCATTCCTCGCTCAGTTTCTTTGTTCAGGACAAGCCTACAAGCCGCCCTAAAAATGTGTTGGGGGTCGTAACAGCGTGTCCAAAGTGTTATGACAGCAGATGGCAGCGGATGAAAGAACAAGTATAGTCCGTCGATTCATGTACGGACGGATGACAACGGCTACGATTAGTTGGTCGTCGGATGGCAGTGACTGGCACAACTGCACTCTAGACATGCTCTACAAGACTTTCACAGTGCCCAGCCCATGCAGTCCCACCAAGCCCAATGGTCACGTCACGTCACGTGAACACTACTGTATTACACTTCCTCACCTGGCCACAAACTAGACGCCGATGTGAGTCCCATCGAAAACTGTCGTCTGACCGCCCTCCACATGAAGTGTAAGTAGGTGTCCTGACTTATCTGATACAATCTCTAAATTCACGCAAGCACTGCCAGTTATACAGCATATGTCAATGTCACAAATTGCAGCTCTTTTCAGTCTGCAAATGCTTCTGTGCTCTGTGCACAACGAATCTAGTGGCTGTCTGTGGCCAGGATACCTGCGCCCTTTACCGCCCATATTTGCATAGCCATTTGTTGCGGGCCATGCCATGTCACCGTTTGTGCAGTTTGCCAGGTTTTTGCCACCATGGCTGATCAGTCGAATTTGCAGTAAAAGACAAAGTTGGTTAATTCTGTTCAAACTCGTTCGGAGATCGGAGGGGAGCGAAAGTCCAACGCATTTTCGACGGGTGGAGCGACATGGCGAGCCGAAGCGACGCGAGCCACGAAGAAATTCACGAATTCACTACCCTCGCTTCTAGAAATATGACTTCTGTGGCTGCGTGCTGCTCCTAACAAAAATTCCACGTCATAATTCGTCATTCTCTCACGCTAGATCGAGAGAGATCAGTTAGATCTCACGTAGAAAACTCCACGACACCACATTCGACAAATCTGTTGTTAGTTCCTAGCTTCCGTAGCTAAGTCACAACTTAGTTCTCCCACCATGTGTTCAACGCGATCCCCGCCACCTCAAGCCCTTCCAGCACGCGAGCTTGACGGAACCACTACTACCCGGCCGCTGCCTCGACCTGTTTCTGCGTTCGACGGCGACGACGCATTGTCATCGCAGGGCCTTGTCGCCGGGCTGTCCCAGATGTCGCACAGACAAAATTCCAAGTCGAGCGACGCGGTTTTGCTCGCAGCACGCCACCGCGCGTCGCAGCGGTTCGCAGCAGAGCAGTGCAGCCTAAGCTGCGACAATATCGTCTTATCATCGAATACTAACAGCCTCAGCTGCGATAGCAGTCCGATTCTCGAGCCCGCCGCCGCCGGAGCCGCACCCGGAGAACGAGCTTCGAGGATATTCGACCGTCGCGCGTTTGAGCTCAACCACTTCCTCCAAGAAAACTCTTTCGAGTTGTCCTCACCCCTGCCCGCCCCCTCGATCGAGTCGATCGCTTTGAGCACCGCGAGTGCCTCGGCCGCGAGTGGCGCGCGCGCCGCCGTGCACGAATCGCGAGGACGAGCGTTCGTGCGATCATTGAGCGGATTCCCGACGACGAGCACGTTCGAAAGCGGCCGCCACATTATTTCGGACTTCAATTTCGGCTCTTCCGAGCTGCTGCTGCCACAAGCAGCGGACGATTTTGTCGCAGCGGCGGCGGCGCCGCCGCCGCCGTGGGGGGCTTGTGACTTTCCTACTCGCCCCATGGCGACTCGGAGGCAACACTTTCCGGATCCCGACCCCGTGATCTTCCTTCTTCCCGACGGCTCGGCGCGCTTCTTCTGCCGCACCGCGCGCGATCCGCTGCTTCGCGTCGCTGACGTCATGCGCGAGTATCCCGGCCTGCACGTGGGCGTCGCGTCCGGGTGCCGCACGTCGCTCCACCTTAATCCGCTCTCCGTCATTCTTCCCGCCCCCAGCGCTACTTATTTTCTCCACCCGCCACAACACCAGAGCACCCGCAGCATTGGCAGTTTCAGCGGTAGTATCACTACTAATAGTAGTAATGCGTCTAGTAGTAGTACTAAGAATTGGAGTTCTACGGACGATCTCGTCCCCGCAATTCACGCCGGAGGTCGCGCTGGAGCCGTCGACACGGCCGCGTTTCGCGCCGCCGTGGACGACGCGGCAGATCGCATTCGCGGGATCGAGATTCAGCTCAATCGGTTCGAGAGGCGGCTACGGCGGGAATCAACGACCGGCGACGCGCCCGCCTCGGCGGCAGCTGCGGCGGCGAATCCGGCGCTGTATTTCGGCCGTCCGTTGGACAACGGAGGCGACTCGGACTTAGTAGCTGCAGCAGCTGCGATTTCTCAGCCTCAGCCTGTTGACGCGGCGAGCAGTTTCAAAGATGAGAGCCGAAGAATTTCACGCGGCGGTAATGCTAATAGTGGTGGTCGCGACGGCTTGGCGTTGAGCCTCTCGGGACCGCTTCCCTCCGCTGCCAGAAACAGTCTTGCGCTAAACCCGCTCCCCCTGCCTCTCTCCCCCCCCGAGAGCCCCCGCGCTGCTTCCGCTCAACCGCCCCCGCGCCTGCACCTTGCGCCCGCCACGCCCCCCCCTGCGCCGGCGCCCGCGAGCCCCTCCTCCCCGCGCCTGTCCTCGCGGTCGCGAACGGATCCGCGCAACCGGCGACACCGTAACCGTTACGACGGTGATCGCGATGCCCTAGCATGCGACGCGGCCGGGCAGCCAGTCGCGAGGCGGAGTAGCACGGGTACTAGCACTAGCCGTCGCGGCCGCGGCGGGGGTGTGTACCCTAGATCGTCCTCCTCTCCCTCCTCCTCGTCTCCCGTCTCGTCCTCCCCATCCTTCTCTTGCGCCACTCCCGCGTCTTCACAGTCTGTCAGGCACGGCTCGTCAGTGTCACTCTCCCGCCCTTCCTCCTGCTCCTCAACCGGCACTCCCTCTGGCTTCTCCTCCTTCTCCTCCTCCTTTTCCTCCTTCGCCTCCTCCACCTCCACCTCGCCTCTCCCTGTCTCCTCGCCGTTCTCTCTCAAATCTGCCTCGTCCTCGTCTCCCTCCTCTTCCACTCGGATCAGTCGGCACCTTTCCAAGTCAGCAGACAGCAGCGATGGCACCAGCTCGTGCACCAATCCCAGCTCCGCTGTGGATCTGGGCTACGATGCGGCCACGGGCACAGGGAGGTCTAATGGCGGCAGCAGCAGCGGCAGTGGCAGTGGCAGGGGGGGGGGCAGAAGCAGCAGCAAGTTGTGGCCAGCATGCCTCACGCCTCCTCGCACCAGGGGAGATGGCTCTCCTGCGAGTGGGAGCCAGGCACACGAGCCTTCTGCACGCAGGCATAGCCGCAAGGCCCCACTCCACCAGCGCAGCCGGAGCATCAGCTTTCTCTGCAGCAGCAGCAGCAGCGGCGGGGGCGGCGGTGGCGGTGCAAGCATTGCAGACATAATTGAACCGACCAGTGGAGGAAGCTGCTATGAGGTGGCAAGCCAGCAGGCGCTGCCGTCATGCGCCAGTCAGCAGAGGAGGAAGCCGAAGACCAAGGGGAGCAGGAGCGATGGCGAGCTCTTCAGTGACCTTGTGTTTGACAGTCGGATTTGTGGGGAGGAGGAACAGGAGCAGGGCGAAGTGGATTCTGATGCGGAGAGTCAGGAGGAAGGGGGAAGCAGCAGAGGCGTGTTTATGACTTGTGGCCCGGCTTTTTCACGGTCTCCCTTGAGGAGGCATTCAGGCCAGCATAGCATGAGGTGAAATGACCTCTGTGTGTTGGTTAGCACCGGCGCTTGGTGTTCTTTCGTGACTGCCCTTTGTTTCGTGCTCACTGAGGTTTGCACTTGGCTGCCAAATGCACGGCAGTACTTGCTTTTCAAATATTCCGATTTGGTACTTACGGCATCTGTAAGAATGGAGATACTAATCTGTAAGAAAAGAGAAAACCCGGTCAAACATATCTTTGTATGTTGTTATAGACTACACAGGGTTGTGCCTTAGAGAGTACAATATCAGAATTGAACAAGTGGTTAGGAGAGAGTACAGGGGTATATAGCCTGGAGTGCTGTACCCTCTAAGGCACAAACCTATATTGTCTATACTAACATCCTTTGATATGTTTGACACACCCCCTAGACTATATAGGGGCAGTGCCTAACAGGAAAACGAGAAGCTCAGGGCGGCACTACTAGTCCAGCCACTGAGGCAAGGGTCTAAACACCAGTCAAACAGAGTACAGGTACTAACAGAAAGAATGAATGACTAGAGTGGTGAGATACAAGGCAATACAGTCTAGAGTGTTGTACCCACCAAGGCACAAACATATATAGTCTACAGTAACTGCATAAGCTATATTTGACACACCCCCTAGACTATATAGGGGCAGTGCCTAACAAGGGAAGAAGCAGCTCAGGGCGGCACTTCTAGTCCAGCCTCTGAGACAAGGGTCTAAAGACCAGTCAAAGGAATACAGACAAGGCAAGAGCAAGACCAGGGCGGCACTACTAGTCCAGCCATTGGGAGAGGCCACAAGGCCAGTCAGGGTTTAAAAAAAAAATATATATATATATATATATATATATGTATATATATAAAGGACAGTAGAAGGTCAAGACCCTAGCAAGTGAGAGGCTACAGGAACGAGACCTAGCTGTACACAGTGCCGCTGATGATCTTTAGGCGCAAGCGCCTTCGTAAAGATATCAGCTGTGTTGGCACCGGAGGCCAAGTATACTACGCGCGCCTGGCGGCGCTGCTGGAGCTCACGCAGGAGGAAGAACCGCAGCTGGATGTGCTTCGCTCTGCCCTGGAGTCGAGGCTCCTGACACAAGAGGATCATGGCCCTGTTGTCAGCGTACAGGAACGGGACAGAGCTAGGCCGTTCACCTAAGTCAGTCAGGTCGGTGTCTGCCTGTAGCCACAAAGCGAGCCAGGATACTGAGAGGGTATGCGAGATCTGGGCGAGTGCAAGTCATCAGGTACATGAGGCAACCCATCAGCTCTGCGTAAGGACCACTGGGCTCTGCAGACTCCTCAGGAACTGGAGCGGAGAGCCCATGGTCTAGGGGCAGAGGAGTGGGCTGTGCGGAGGAGAACTGAAGGCTGAACCTCTAAAGGACCTGGCGCACCAAGTGTGACTGAGTCAAAATGATAGTGCGCGCTGCTCTGTCCCTGGAGATCTGCAAGCCAAGGTAGTGGCGCAGTTCTCCAAGGTCAGTGCAGGTGTGTTTCTTCAGCAGCTCTGCCTTCACGGAGGCCAGTGCGTCCCTGACTGCTGTGGCGAAGACCAGGTCGACTACGTAAACAAGGATGTAGAACGGGGTCTGGCCTGCACGAACGAAGAGTAAGGGGTCTGCAGAGGACGGAAAGAACTGCAGGTCAGCAGGCGTAGCACGCAGCGTTTCGTGCCACTCACGGGGAGCCTGCCGCAGGCCGTAGACGGGGCGCCGCAGAAGCCACTGGGTCCCAGGAGAGAGGTGCCAGTGAAGCCCTGAGGGCGGCACAGGTAGACCTGCTCGTATAGACTGCCTTGAAGAAACGCAGTGGAGAAGTCGAGGGAGTGAAGCTCGTAGTCACGCTGAGCTGCTACGTGTAGTAACACCCGAAGAGTAGTCATCTTCGGGGTCGGAGCGAAGCTATGGAAGAAGTCCACCTCCTCACGCTGACTGAAACCTCTAGCCACGTAGCGCGCCTTGAACAAAGGTGGCTCTCCAGGAGGGCGCTTCACCTTGAAGAGCCAGCGGCCATCGACTACGTTCACCCCAGGTGAGGGAAATGCGTCGACGTAGGTGCCAGTGGATCTCCAAGATGCCATCTCCTGCTCCATGGCAGCTATCCACTGAGAGGCCCAGGGTCCCGAGACCGCCTCAGCGTAAGTGCGAGGGGTCGGGATGTCGAAAGCGTCTGGGTCACCCTCAGGGACTAGAAGCATAGAGCAGATATGGGGAGGAGCCTCGGACAAGAAAGCAAGCTCGTACTGGCGGTCCTCCAGGACGTCACTACAGAGGGCAGGAGCACCCCCGACGGACGGAGGACAGGCAGGGTCAGAGACCAGAGCGGTGGCGTAGTCAAGGCGGTGCGTAGAGGCGAAGTCAGCGACCGCAGCGACAAGGGCGTCAAGACTCGAAACTGGAACAGACGCGTTAGTAACGAGGGAGGCAAGGACCCGAGGAACAAGAGGACGAGCCGCACGCAGGTAGTCAGACAGAGGGGGGGGAGCAACAACAAGGGAGGACCGAGGGGGCGACGGGAGAAGGGGAGGACGAGACGCATGGGAACGGAGCAACATAGGGTGAGAGCGCGAGACAGGGGAGACAGGTCGAGCACGGGAGGGGCGGCGAGACCAGACATGAGACGGAAGGAGTCGGGTCAGGAGACAGAGGAGGGGACACAAGAGGGGAACGAGGGCAAAAACAGGCCGGAGACGAGTCCAGAGGAGGGAACACAGGGCTGTGGACAGGAGGAGGAGGAGGCACGGGCACGCGGTCAGGGGAAGGAAGGCCGAGCAGACAAAGAGCGGACACCGGCGGGGACTGCTACAGCAGCGGTTGTGACACCGACACCGGGACCGCAAGCGGCCTGGCGGCTACCTCCAGAACAGTCCACGCCAGCACCCCCAGAAGGAACACCCCCAGAGCTCAGAACCCCTCGAGCATCGGTACCACCCCCAGGCCCACCAGGACAAGCCACGACAGGAGTCCCAGGACTAGTACCCACCCCAACTCATGCACCCCCAGAGGCAACGAGCGGCTGCGGCGATGGCTGCGGCGGCGGCGGCTGCAACGACGGCGGCTGCGAAGGTGGCGGAGGAGGAGACACCGTAGAAGGGGCAGGCTGCGAGGACTGCACCGCAGGACCACCAGAGTCAGCAGACTCCTCAACCGGGACAACCGACGTAAGGGGGGTGATGTGAGACACACCAGAGGGGGCAGGACGGGGAGGGGGAGGAGGAGGGGTGGCGACGACCGAGGAAGGGGGGACCAAGAACAAGGGGGGGGGTAACCGATGGACCGCGGTGGGGGAAGCGGCGGAAGAAGGAGACGGACTCGTCAAAGGTGACGTCACGGGAGTGAAAGAATCGGTGAGAATGCGGGTGGTTGAAGTGCCAGTCAGACGCGTCAAGGGGGAAGCCAAGGAAGACATAGGGAAGGGTGCGGGCAGTGAGCTTGTCCGTACCAGAGGCACGAACGTGAGCAAGGCAGCCCCAGACGTGGAACGCAGACGCGTCACCAGGTGACCCAGACCAAAGAAGAGTCGGTGAAACCTGAGGCTGCTGGGGGTGCGGCCACAGGTTAAGCTGGTGAGCGGCGTAGCGAACGGCAAACGGCCACAGAAAATGGGGTGCACCGGCATGGATCATGGAGGTGCGAGCCACCTCCATGACCAAACCGATGTGTCGCTCAGCGACCCCATTCTGCTGCGGGGAGTCCAGCAAGGTGAACGTCTGGGTGATGCCCTCCGCACGACAGAAACGACCAAGGACACTAGAGGCAAACTCACCACCACGGTCAGAGTGGAGGCGCAAGACAGGGAGACTGCGGTGGACACGCGCAGCGACAAGCCATGGGATAAGAACATCAGGCACGTCGACCTTCTGCTCCAGGGGGAACAGAGTGGTGTAGCGCGTGTAGTCGTCGACAAGCACTAGGAAGTAGCGCTCTCGACGCGGCCCATGGACAGGGGTGGGGCCCCAGACGTCCATGTGCAGAGTCTGTAGCGGTGCTGTGGTAGGGGGAAATGAGGAGGAGTGAGGGGCAAGGCGGAGCCGGCCCTCGACGCAGGACGTGCAAGGTGGGGCTGGGGAGGAGGGAAAGTCAGGGAACGACCCGGGGAGGCCTAGGACGAGACTGTGCTGTAACATGTGACTCAGACACGGGAGCGCAGGGTGACCTAGGTGGTGGTGCCAGGGAAGGGTCGGGTGGGTGAGAGACCGACAGGAGCAGGCAGCAGCAACCTGAAGAGACGCAGCCACCTAAGGGGGGGTCCCAGCCGGGGGGGTCACCGTGTCCAGTGTGAAAAGACCGGACACCGGGTCCCGTGGGAACGTGGACAGGGGGGCACCAGTGGCGGCCTCGGTACAGACAGCGTACCGCTCGTGTCCAGGGAACGTAGTGGTGACGCCAAGGTCCTGAAGGCAGCCGACACCAACTAGGTTCCTGGAGAACGAGGGGATGTGCAGACCTGTGAGCGAGCCCGAAGGAACCGCCGGGCAGTACAGTGCAGTGCAGTGCGGTGCAGTGAAGTACAGTGGAGTGCAGTGCGGTGCAATACGGTGCAGTACGATACAGTGTGGTGCAGTGCGGTGTAGTGCGGTTGAGTATGGTACCGGGGGGGGGGGGTTCACAGGGCGGTGCTGATCGGGAAGAACGGGCCAAACCCGAGGCTGCGGCGGGCTGGCAACGACGCAAATGCAGGAGCTGGCCGGCGGACGGCAGGCGCGAGGGGCCAGCAAACGGCGGCAACGGGGGCTGGCGAGAAGCTGGAGCGACGGCGAGTAGGGCCGGCCACGACGGCGAAGAGACACGGCCGCGACGGCGGCCAGGGACAGCCGCGATGGCGGCTAGGGGCGGCCGCGATGGCAGGAGTGACTGTGAGGCGGCTGGAGACGGCAGCGACAGTGGCTAGGGGCGGCCGCGACGGGCAGGGGGCTGGCTAGAGACGGGCACGACGGCCAGGGGGCCGGCTAGGGGCGGACGTGACGGCCAGGGGGCCGGCTAGGGGCGGACGCGACGGCCAGGGGGCCGGCTAGGGACGAGCGCGACGGCCAGGGGGCCGGCTAGGGACGAGCGCGACGGCCAGGGGGCTGGCTAGGGACGGTCGCGACGGCCACGGGGCCGGCTAGGGATGGACGCGACGGCCAGGGGGCCGGCTAGGGGCGGACGCGACGGCCAGGGGGCCGGCTAGGG